AAGGGGGGTAGGGTGGGAGATGTAAGGGTACAGGGGTTTCACTTAACAACAGCAGGCTGCAGAAACGAAGATTGAGTACAAGGGGTGTGGAAAAGTTGCCACCAGTAGCAATTTGTTACTTAATCTTCTAACAACCAACAAATGAGTAGTAATTATCCCTTTCATCTGTTATACATTTCCTTGTTCATCAGTTAAGAGAATTTGTTATTCAGTCAGTTGTACGATAGCATCATCAAGCAGATTTGTATTCCACTCATAAAATTTGTTTGCTGGATGATATATTAAGTGAGGTCATGAAGAGAAATTACATCAATGGTATAGTCATTGTGTAGGATTTTTATTCATGTGAACTTTGTAGGATTTTGACGCTATTGTAATCACCATGGACAGTAAATTTGTGAGCTTTTGCATGACCCTGCTTGAGTCTTTTTCACAGTAACTTGGTCTCTCGCAGAGTTCAAATCTCAGAAATTTACTGACAGAAAAAGTGCATGTTCATTAATCTGGGAATTTGATCATAAGGTTAAACTAGGTACATGTCCTTGACAACTGCACTCTAGTAAGTGCTAGAATAGTTCGATTGTTCCAAGACTCATTGCAGTACGATAAACTGATAAAATATTTGTCACCTGCTATGCAATTAATAACCGTAGCTAATAAGCTTGTACTCCAGAAAAGATATGTCGATCGAACGTGAGGGTCATGTTTAGAAGTTTTAATTAATGACTCCTGCGGAGACAATCCATTGATTTCAAACTCAACAGTGTGGTGTTTTGACGATTAGATGAAGACATGGTAGAAATGTTGTGGTCTCAAAGGAATCTCATGCCGATAACAATATCTTTTGCGTCAAAACAAAGTTAATTTTTAATTTGGTAAAGAATCAGTCCAATAATAAGCAAAGCGAAGTTAGTCTGATTCGATCTTATCTTAGTTTTGTACCTCGAAGGAAGAAAATCAAAGTAAGATTAACTAACCCATAACTTGTTTGGCCTCTTTCCATTCCCAAAGAGAAAATTTCAGCTTCTTTCTTCTAACATTCCGCAGCTAAGCAACGAAGTGAAGTCCATTAAGCGAAAATTCCATCGCGCGAGCGGAAGTCAGAACTTGGCGACTTCGAATAAACAAGGAATTTGGAAATTGTCAGCAATCAGGTGAAAACGATCGAAAGATTAAAACATCTTAAATAATATAAATAATTAAAATCAACTTCGACACAACTACTAATTGATTGTCGCGGAGATGGCTCAACAATGTTCATTTACATGATAAAATATACTAGCGTGCCTCTAGGCAACCAAAATTTCCTTCGCATAATTGCCAGGTTACCGAGTGCACATGGCAAGATGGCGAACACTAAGAGAAAGGTGAAGTGTTAGTCCTATTGTAGTCTTCTCCTTAAATACTTCCATCGAGTCCAATTCTCGTCTTAGATCAGAGAAAAATCCAAACTAACTTGATTCTCCTTCTCTACAGATCGGTGGAGAGGACACGAACATTACGTTTGAAGATCAACAACAAATTAACACATTTGCACGGAAAAGTGCCAGAATCCAAGAGCTGAAAGATGAAATTGAACAAAAAAAGGTTTGAAATAAGGCAGGAATTATCGAATACATAGCTTGTATAATCCGTAGGGTTCTTGCTGACAATTATTTATTGGTGCCTATCACAGGTGTCATGGTCCTATAGTATATCAATCATTTAATCACTTAGAAGATACACTTGTGCATGAGCGTTGGAAGCCAATGTACTCACAGGCGGCTCAGGCTTTGTCACAGGCTCTTTCACAGTGGATTATTATAGAGTTTGTATAGTGGTTTAGTTGGACTTGCTTTTGCACTCCGTAAATATAAAGTTGTGTGAAATAATAAAAGAAATAAAATCTTACCTTCATACAGAGTAGTCTGTGCTGTTCTTGTCGCGATTTGAGGCCGTTTTGCTGTGTTTCAGCTCAACGTCCTAGCTAGCACTACCAAGTAAAAGGGTTATTAGGTAGTGCTAGCTAGGACGTTGAGCTGAAACACAGCAAAACGGCCTCAAATCGCGACAAGAACAGCACAGACTACTCTGTAGGAAGGTGAGACTTTATTTCTTTTATTATTTCATACAACTTTATAAATACGGAGCTCAAAGCAAGTCCAACTAAACCACTATACAAACTCTATAATAATCCACTGTGAAAGAGCCTGTGACAGAGCCTGGGCCGCCTGTGATGTACTTTTGATTTAATTGCTATAGAACCGTATTCTTCATTTTGCTTACAGTTAAGAAAACTGTCGACAGCTATGGCAAAAACAAAATATTTGGAATAGTTTAGGGCCGTGCAGAAATCTTCCCTGCTCTTTTTACAATTCAATTTTCCTGTGGGAGAAGTAAGCTAAGCCGATGTTCTGATAGTAGGCTTCTTAAGGGAGCAAGGTTGTGTGTCTTGCCTCACTAGCTTGCATGCAACTTGTCCTTTTCAAGGAAGAAAATTAACGGTAGTTGTTGCTATCATGGAATGGTGAGCCTGTGTCGCAAGCTGTTTTGCAGTTGCGTAGAACATTTTGATATCACCCTTGCTCAATAATGCACTTTATAGATTGAAAATTTTTATAATATTTACTACAGAAAGATCTTCAGAATCTTGAAGATGCTGGTGATGAAGTGATGTTGTTGGATGATGACACTGCACCAATTCCATATCCTTTCTCTACCCTTAAAAATTTTTGTTAATTTTTTTAATTTAATGAACTGTTTATCTCAGGAAGAAGAGTCCAATGTTTATAGGAGTCAATGTTTAGTGCTGACATTTCATTGTATCTGAAATTAAGTGAAATACACCTTATGCCACAGTCAGTCTTGTTGGAGAACAGAGCAGGAACATTTAAAGAGAAACTTGCAACAATTTACACTAAAAAAAAATTATTAATTATTAATTATTATTAATTCAAAAAACTCATTTGACAGTCTGCTGTCAAGTGAGTTTCTTCTTACCCTTTCTGCCATCAAGGCTCTGTTTCTGTTACCTTCTTTCTCTAATATCAGACCCTTTGTAGAAGAAGCTAGCATGACATTAAAAAAGGAGCTGAAAATTTTAACATTTTACTACTCCTATTTCTGCACATGAGGATTTAGACACAGCTGATCTTAGCAGTCTGCAATATATTTCTTGTCAGATTTGAGGCAAGTAAAGGCCAAATTTCATGATACATTATTGGAGTGCAAAATCCAAATGTTGGGGGTGTGATCTCTCGTGGTAGACTCAGAGATACATACTTGTAATAAAACAATTGACATCTTTGTTCAAGACTGGGCTGTCATATTGGCCTGCCATTTATTGAAAGCAACATTCATGAGTGTAAACATTGTTCCTTGACACATGTTAGTTACAGAATAGGGGAAATATTTATCCATTTATCATCGGAGGAAACTCAAGAATACCTTGAGAATGCAAAATCCAAGATACAAGATGAAATAAAATCCTTGGAATCCGACACTGCCGAAGTCAAACAGCTCCTGGCTGATCTTAAAGTGAAACTTTATGCCAAATTTGGCAATAATATCAATTTGGAGGCAGAGGAGGAGTGAAAAGTGAAAATTTAAGATTAGCCCTGATGTTTTCCAATTTAACTGTGTCATGATTGATAAAATATCTGTTCAAACATTTGTAGAGTCTGGACAAGAGTATTTGGAGTTGAGAGCCACAGCAAGTGTAACTGTGTTTTTGAAAGGTAATTGTAGACAAGAACATATTTGAATAAAATGTATAAAAGAAACTCTTATTGCGAATTGATGATTTGCTGGTGAGGAAGTTAGCCTGCCTGACTCTAGATAAAGAGGACAAAGAATAATATAAGTTAGAGAAAAATACTGACAGAGAAGGCCTAAGCCTGTGAAAGACTTAATGGTAATTAAGAATGCTTGGTTGTGTATGTAAGGAGTTATATGAATATATGAATATATGAATATGAATATAGTTTATATCTGACCACTTCTCGCACAACAGTCCAGCGCTCTATCCATTGAGCTAACCGGGAGGCTATGGAGTCAGTACAGTAATGTAGCCTTGTTCCCAGTAGGGCCATAGGCGAGACTGGGAACAGATTAGTATATTTCATGTTGAGGTATATGAAGATCGTTGCTCTCGCGCTTGCCCCAGTCTATTCTTCCCCCGCTAGACGAGAGCACGATCGAGCGCGATAAACTTTCCAGAATGAGTAGCAGAACCATCTGTCTTCGTGTTGTAGAACAGTGTCGATCTCGTAGGTTTCGTTTTACTCACCAAATAGTTTTACGAGGGAAGGTAGGTTTCAAAAAAAAGTACGTAGATCTTTACGGGTTTTCTAATATTTCTTCTTCTTCGCTGCAGACTTTCTTAGCTCACCTCGTGAACAACTAACTAAGGCCACAATTTCTTATCTTTACTGAGGATACCGTTTATCTTCGATCCTTTCATGCGGGAAAGGTTTAAACGAGTTAAAAAATTTCAGAAATAATATAGGGCATTCTTCCCTGTGATGGTCTGCAACTCTGTTATCAGAAACGAATGTCCTAATTTGGAACGAATTAAAGTTTGAGTCCGATTGACTTAAATTAATTTTGATTAGTAAGTCGAAAATTTACCATAAACTACGACTATAAATTAAAACATGAAATTTAATTACAATTAAAGTTTGTCAGTAATCACCCTCCATAAATAAATGCACAGGAGTGTGGGGTTTATTAGTTCTTCCAAATATCTGCAGGTGCTATGTTCCAATTTAAGTACAAACAAGGAGGGACCTTCTCACAGTGAAAAAGAGTGGGGTACAACTAAAGAGAAACATGGCTATGGTACTAACGGTGGATTTGAGAAACGTGACAGGGAGGCTGCTGGTTTATTTTATCTGAACACTCTGCAGTTACCAGAAATGTTACAGAAGAACTTGGACAGCTACCTGAAGAGTAAGGAAAAGGGTCTTTATTTGTTTCTCTTGTTACATGAAAAAGAAAAAAAATTGGAAATGTGCAGTGGAGTCAAGGGGCTAATTCAGCCAGAGCTTATCTTGGTTTCTGCAGTACGAGATTACAAGGAATATTGCTACTCCCTCTTGGATAGGATGCTAGGTTATCACAGGTTCACCCACCCCCCCTCAACCTCCCATCCCCCACCCCCTTCCTCCTTTTCTGAGTATTTAGTCAGACTCCTTGACAGTTTGTTGGCACTCATTTATACTCCTGTGGGGTGAGAGACACTTGCTGAGTTAAGTGTCTTGGCCAAGAACACAACTTATTAGACGACTTGGGCAGTCAGAGGGCCAATAACTAAAATCAACCAATCAAAATGCTCTATTGCCGGTCAATATTCTCTCAGTATTGGACCGGGCACTGTCCTGAATGGTCCCGAATGATACCGCACTTGTGTCCCTTTGAACTTCAGTCGTATAATAAATCTTCTTATTAACCAAGCTTGCTTGGGACCGCACTGGAAGAATGGAAGACCGCCCTCTGTCTTTTTTGTACAGACCTCGCTGCGTTCGGTCCATACTGTCAAGACCTCGGGCCAATATTCTCCCAGTACAGCCCTCGCGCTTGGTTAATAAGATATATAAAATGACCTGTCAGGGTCTCAAACTACATCCCTCAAGTTGGAGTCCATCACACAAAATGTTAGCACACTGTTTCTCTCACTTTAGACAGGGTCTTTATTTGTTTTCTAGTATCACATTTTAACTGCTATTCTGCTTGTCTTTACTGACTAGAAATATAGTCATTTACTGTCTAACCTTCTTGTCTGCATCCTTTATTGATTGTGGCATGAACTGAATTCTATGATTTTCTAGAATTCCCAAGGAAGGTGTTGGAAAACGATGGTAAAAAACTTGCAAGGCACATCAGAAATAGAGGTCGTCCAACAGACCAGACATGGCAGAAATATAGAGAATCTAGAAGGCAAAGAGAGGAAGGTATGGTCTTGAGTGTTGTATCAGAGATGAAAATGGAAAGAAAAGAACTTGATCAGCCAAGTCCATAGTTAGTTCGCTTTTTTCCCAATTCGTGATTGTGTTTACTGTACCATTATTCTTGATAAAAGTGGTGAAAATAAATAATCATTGTCACAAAAGATCTAAAGCACGTTCATTTGGTTTTTCTGTGCTCGTTTAGGCACAGTTTTCTAAATATTCTTTGCCTGTTAAGACCATTTTTTGGTAGCAGTGAGTCAAAATATGTGCACTTTTGAGGGAACAATGACTCAACCTTTAAGTCTTACTTATCATATGCATTAAACTGAAAGTGAAAGAAGAGCTGGCAATGATTGATTGAAATTGTACATGTAGATGGCTTGTTGAAGTCTGCATGTTTACAGGAAATCTGATTAGGTTAAATATCATACACTATTTGACATAAGGTTTGAAAATTGAGAAAATCACCAGGTGTTCCATGCTATCAATTAAGGGATATTCAGTTGTGTGTTGTGTTCAGAACAAATACACATAATGTCTATGTGAAAATATGTAATGATTTATGACTCTTCGTATTTCTTGTCTAATTGTGTATAGCAAACCAAGCTAAACCAGCTGACATCTTGAAGCTACATAAGCAGCAAGGAGATTCAATTTTTGATGACGGAGATAATATAAGTGAAGATGAAGATGATGAATTTGACGAAGACTCTGTTTCCCAAGAAACAAGTTCTGAGCCACACGAGACTGGTGACAGTGATACTGATGATGAACAAGATGACAGTCGCACAAATACTGAAACAACAGACACAAATGATGGCAAACCTGCTATTATCAAAAAGCAAAAAGTTGTTAAAAAGCCAAGAGGAAGTGAATACAAACTGATAAGGTATTAATATTGTTTAATGCAAAGTAAGATTTGTTGTAATTAATAAAACTAACCTTGGGACTGTCTCTTGAAAGTTCCTTTAACTTAATGGGCCAGAAGACATATTTTGAAATAAAAATTTAAAGAATAGAGAAGCTTTTTCTGACTTTCAAACCAGTCCATTTTGATTCTTTAGCTTTATAATTTATAACTTTCAAAACTTATGAAACCCCCATCCTGAATGAAAACAGAACAGCTTTACAGGCCCATTAGGTTACCAGGACCCTCGAAGAAAGGGCCCCAGGTTTTTAAATATTTACAATATTTTATTAAATTTAGTACCAACCCAAATCACAATACAGTTAACATCCAAAGGGAGAGAATTAAGACAACTTTGAATTTGAATCATTTAATTAGAGAGTGTAAGGAATTCCTTTTTTTCTCTCTCAAAAAAAAACTGAAATTATTTGCAAATTGTCTTTCCCAAACTTGTTATTGATGGGCTTCTGAGACTTGCTAAGATTTATTTTGTGACAGGTACAACCAAAGAGAAGCTGCAGCTTATGCTGCAAGCCGTTTACCTGCCAGTTATGGAGCAACACTCAGAGTGTTTCATGAAGTAAGTCAAAAGTGACATCAGGTTATTTTGTTATGTCTGTTAAAATTTTTAGACCAGTATGGATGATGCTAAGCTGTTTTTGATGAGAGCTTCTGTTGAAATATTATAATTATTTGTCTCATTTTTGGTTGAGATTCCTCTCACTGCCATTATCTATTGAATATCTGAGGTCCTCGCATCTCTGGAAATGCCATTTGAGCCTTGCCCATGCCTTGAAATAATAAAATAAGATTTTGGAAATCTTATGTTAATCTCTGACAGATAAGTCGGCGTGAGCCTAACTTTAAACCAGAGAATCTGCTGGATTTTGGTTCTGGTTCTGGAACAGCAACATGGTAAAAAAAAAAATTTCAATTATACAATCTACTTCTTCCACAAATAATTAACTTCCAAAGGTAGTAGTTTCCTAAAGGTTTTTATGATGTTATTCAGTTAACAAGAGGAACCTTCTTTCCTCTAAAGAGCATCCTGAGTGTCCTTTTTTCCTTCCTTTTTCATCAGTCAAGTAGCACCACATGACCGACAAATGTGGGCATGTATGGTCTGCTGAGGTGTTATAATGTCAAAAGCTGTTATGTTGCAAATTTGATTCAACTATCATCATTTTTTGGTTACCATGAACTTTGCCCAACACTCTAGGGCCGCACATGAGACGTGGGGAGACTCGCTGAGAGAGTATCAATGTGTTGATGTATCTCAAGATATGAACACTCTGGCTGAATATCTCCTTAGAGGTTTGTACTTCATAATTATGAATGAATTATTAATTTTACTAAATTTTATTCATCACTGACAATAGACGTGTGAGCAGTATTATAATTTTCTTGTTTCTCAGGCAATTGAGTGTTACTTCTAAATATATCAAGTCATTATTTTTCAGTAAATGAAAGGCAGAAATATTCAATCCACATGTTCAAGGATCTCTTCTTTGTTTTTCTTGTTAATGCAGGTGGAGAGGGCTTGAAACATTCTCTTCATATTCCAGGTGTTTATTTCAAGAGATTATTACCTGTATCCAACTTGGTAAGCCTAAATTTGAACCAGAAATATTCTTTCAGTTTTAATAGGAAGGACTAAAACTTTGATATAAGGTTTTCTCTCTTTGTGCTTTTACACCAATACGATGTTCTGCATAAGCCCTTAGGCTCTCCTCTCTATTCTCCAAGAATTACAATTATTCATAACAAGCTAGAAATAAAGAACGCACCAATAGTATGCATTAATTGTAAAATGCAGTTTGCTTTGTACTAAGTGTGTGTCTCAAGTTAGAGAGTACTGGCCCCTCTTTGTGGGAATCAGTGTGCACCCAAAAAGAGATTTAGTTATTGATTTCCACAACCCTGTCAGTATTTATGACAGACATACAGACCTGTATAGATATTTAGCATGGACAACTGATTTTTGCATTTATTTCTTATTGGTCAATCAGATAACTTATGATGTTGTGGTGGCTTCATATGCTCTGAGTGAAATACCTAAAGCTTCCTTGAGAAAAATGGCAGTGATAAGCTTGTGGGGGAAAACAAGTGATTTCTTGGTGAGCAATTTTTGTTTGAAAATTTCTTACGTAACTTGAAAGATGAATTCACAGAATGATGGATAACACCAGTTAAACTCTCAAGGGTGCATTCATTTTGAATATGATTATAGGTTATTATAGAACATGGGAATACTGAAGGGTTTGAAATAACAGCTGAAGCCAGGAACTTGGTGTTAAAGGTAAATGAAAAGATTTCTTGTATGAATGCAACTGTAAAAACCTGCATATAAGAGCCTGGGGTTTTCCAAGTTAGCCTCCACAGGTTCCAAATCAGGTTTGAAAAAGAAGAAACTTCTGTTTGTGGGTGTGGATGTGATACTGCGCTGTATACCAACCTCATAGTGCCCCGTTTTACACAGTTAACTACACATAGTTGGATAATGTTCTGGCTGGTTTTTGTTGCCCTTTTTAAATCACATATGATGTAGTATTTAAAAAATTTCTTCATTCTAAAAGTAGGAATCTACATTGAAATTTTGGCCTAGAGTGGTTCTTATGTGAAGGGAGCCTAACTGACAAATTTTAGCCTAACAGGTTCTTAAATTTTAGGTTCTTATATGCAGGGTTTTACTCTGTAATAATAACCCTAGAAAATACATCAATTTTGTTTTATTTTTTTAGTATTTGATTTGGGAGAGTATTAATTATCTTTTAGTAGAAGCTTTAACATCCCACCAGAGCAAGAATAGTTTTTTAAAATTCCCAGTCTGTAGGGCAAAAATTGTGTTCAAATGCCCCACCCAATTTTTTTTGGAAAAAGGCAAAATCAACAACTGTGACTTTCTACACTTTGACCAAGGTTCAAAGCTAGACGTTGTGGACCTTTTTTCTGGGCCATTTGTTCATGGAAGTGAATTATATATAACACTTGTATTCCACTGGAAAGACTTGACAGTTTCAGTTCAAATTCCCCACCCCACCCAGGCATATTGGACCTAAAGTATGCATATACAATTTCCTCTCCATGCATGTACCCCAGTGTTGTAGACAGTAAAAGAGAAATCAAGGGCTATTACCACACCTCTTTGCCTACTATTTTCCCTGTTGGAAAACCCACTTCATTTAATTGTAAGCTACTGCTTCACCACTTGTGATATTTTATTTAACATAGAATAAGAATCATTATATTTATTTGAAACTTGGAAATATGATTTTTATTATTTTTATGTGAGTTTTGTGTTTCCTTTATTTTTTCATACAGAAAGGAGATGGAGAGCCTGTTGATGATGAATCTTCTGAAGGTAGGTACAGTTAATCCTTAACAACCTAACACCAGTAACCATAATTTTTCTCCTTACTCATCTCCATACATTTCATTTGGTACTGACAACAAGAGTTTAAATAACAATCTAAGCTTTTAGAGATCTTAATGAATTGTTGGCCCAGTAAAGTGTGCCATCATTGGCCCAGTAAAGTTTGCCATCACTGGCCCAGTAAAGTGTGCCATTATTGGCCCAGTATAGTTGGCCATCATTGAGTTAAAAAAGTTAAAAGGGTTTAAAAAATGCAATGAATCTTCCAAAAATGAGAAAAAGGGGCTTTTCAGAATGAAATCCAAGTCTTTGGACGGCTTGTTTTAGAAAAATTCTAAACTGAGTGTCTAAATTTGAGAGTATGATTTGGTTTTTCTTTACTTCACTCTGTGATTGATTTTGAAAACTGTCTCATTCAGTTGGAAGCAATTTAACCCATCTCCACCCCTGCTTCAGACTTTTTTTTTCTTTGAGTTCTCACTGGTTCCTAGGTAATATTTTCCTTTGTTCTCATTAGCTGTAGTGATTGTTTTAAATTTGATTTTACTGCACTCAGTCAATCAGAGCTGAATTACATTTGAATTGTTTCTTCCAGGTAACCAGTACCAGTACCTTGATGCATCTGCTGAGGAAATGGATGATGGCTTTGTTTTTTCACCAGTAAGTTTGAATTTCAACTTTCTGCACTTGTTCTAAACTTTTTCCTTAGGCCTCTCTTTTGGTTCACATAACAAGTGGAGTATAGTTATTTCACCCAAAAAATTCATCTTCTTAAATGGCACATCATAGATGCCATAAACATTTGGTAACAATGGAACCAAAATAGTAGGATGTCAGCCTCTAGAGATTTTGTGTTTGTGATGCTCTTGACCACTTGACATCTTCTGCTATGAGGTTCTAGGTGGGAGCCTCCTATCCTACTTCATCAAGGATTGATGTGTTAGCTTAGCATGTTTGATTTTTTGTTTGTCATAGTGTCCACATGATGTCAAGTGTGCAAGATCTGATGCTGAAACAAGAGACCATCCCTGTAACTTTGAGCAAAGAATTCAGTTGGCTTTATGTCAGGTTTGTTATAAAAGAGAATGAAAAGTCAACCATCCTCCCTCAATAGTTTGGCTTTATCAACATAGTTCCCTTGATAATGTTAATTGGCCACCATAGTGAGATGATAATGAAAGCTGATGTTTTATGCCTAAGCCCTCCTGTCACAGGGAATTAGATTCACTTTGACAAAGGGCTAATGCTTGAAAAGTCACCTTTATATTCTCTGCATGGTGGTCAATTTGCTTTTAACTGAGTTGATAAAAATAAAACCAATACCTATGATGCACGATCCAAGTAACACCCCCTGCACACACAGCATGATTTGTTTATATAAAAAGGCAGATATCACAGGAGGCATTAAAAATTGGATTTCTTGGAGTTGTAGTATGCAAATCACAGTATGTTCTTTTGCATCCTGTCCCATCCCCTTGCTGTCAACATTAGGGAGTTTAAGAAAACCAGTAGGGCAATAGCAGTGGAAATATCACTGAACAAAAGGTTTAATGAGCAGAGCAGTGGTTGTGCACATGCTTATATGAATCTATGTAAATTTCTTTGAGTCTTCTGCAAAAAAAAAAAAATGTGAAATGACCAAATTTCGTGTTGTCTGGGGAATGTGAACAACCATGGATAATTTTTTTAAATTTAAGACTGTGTTCCATATTCAGTTTTGAGGTAATGTGACAGTGAGAAACAAACTATGTGACTTTAGAGTATCGTGAGATTCATAGGTAAAAAATATCAGTTCATTTTTTAACCCATGTTGCATTCCACTGTGTCCCTGTCATCTTTTCTTAAACTCGCTGTTATTAAGGGGTAGGGGTGTTGGCAATATTCATAAGGAGACAATTGACAGAGATAATTGTGGTTTGAGAATTTTGGCATTTATTTTTCAAGGTTTCCCAAGGAAAGGATCCTTGGTCAGGATGATAGGTACCTCTTCCAGTCTATTTTTTTTTTGTGCTAATTTTTTCTGTCTAAAATTTTAATTTTGTTTCAGAGGAACACAAAATTAAAGAAGAGGGGATTTCATACAGAAAGGTTCTCATATATCGTGCTCAAGAAAGGAGCAAGAGTTTCTGAAGGTCAGTGCTGGAAGAATTTTGTTGAGGGGAGGGAAGAGTCTGGAGATCATGCCCTCTAGGAAAATGTAGATTTAAGAATTCGAAATGAACTAATATTTGACTTTTGTTATTTATTTTAATATTTAATGAGTAAGGACAAATTTTCTCATTCTGCAGAGAAGCCCTGGCCTCGGGTTCTTGAACCTGTGCGATACAGAAAGCGACATGTTATTTGTAGACTCTGCTGCAGCTCAGGTTAGTCAGTTGAGAATCATATCATGTACCAGCATTCTTCTATAAATGTTGATTAGTGAAAAAAAATTTAATAATGAGGCTCTTCTTCGTGTTTTCTTAGGTGACCTAAAACAAAAGACTTTCACGAAAAAGAAAGACAGGTGTGTATAGTTTACGTTGCTATAAGCCAGTTAGTCAAATAAATTTTGCTGTTTTAGTACCAAAACAGCTTTCAGCCAAGTGTTTTCTGAATGTTCATTTGTTTGGACAAACAAACATTTCAAACATCTAAGCAGCATCATGTCATTAATCTTTTACCCTTTTTTAGTGATATCTACAAGTGTGCTCGGCATTTAACAAAATGGGGTGACCTGCTACCAGACCCAGAGGACAGAGAGAGGCTTAGGGTGAACAGAAAGGCTGTGAAGTCTTGATCCAAAAATAGAATAGAAATGATATGGAATAATTATGCTGAATTGCACAGGAATCAGAAACTGTGCCATACACCAAATGCAAATATGGTGTCCAATTTGAATTGCCATTGTTCTGGACTGACTAGCCTCGTCTTCACGTGGAAACACAAAAGGATTATTACATGTGTGAGAGGCTAGTGAGTCCATAGCAATGGCAACTCAAATTGGTCGCCATATTTGCATTTGGTATATAGCATAGAACAAATGCTGTAATTAAAATAATAAAATAATGTAAAAATATTTTCTGAGTTGATTTTGTTGTTATTAAAAAGATAAACTCAAACTGAAACAGATGAATCTGAGATTATCTCTAAATTATTATTGTGATTTATAAAGAGCTGTTTTTATCATGCATTTATAAGTAACATTGGAGTCAGCTTTATTTCAATGTTCAGGCTCAATAGTTGATATGTTTTTAGTACCACATTTAAAGGAGCTCTAACTTGTGGTTGTTTGGGTGTGGTTTATTTGTGACCAGAGCCTTGAGAAATACTAGCTTATCAAAAGAGCAGTTTTAAACTGAATGTCAAAACACGAAAATCAAAGTAATCCCAGTGACTAGACAGAACAAGGTTTACATTGTCATTATCTAATGAGAGCTCAGAATGAAAATGGGCATACTACTTGAAGCACAGGAAAGTATGTAAGACCAAGTTGCCATTATTTTTAGTTTTGCATCTGATTTGTTGAAGATGGCAAAAGTTTTCCAAACCAATCATAGGGCAAAGCTAAGAAAAATCAAAGCAATCGTGATTTACTTTCCACACTTCGTTGAAATGCTCAACAAGCAATTAAATTAAGTTATGCATTTTGAAAAAGTGTTTGATTCATGTTTTGGTGACTTGTGTTATTTTTCTTGGAGTAAGCTCTTTTGTGAAAGGGGTTGGCATAATTCCAGGAGTATAGGATTGGAAAAAAAAATAGGGAGAAGTAAACTCTTAAAATAAATTTATTACACGATACCAGAACTGATTGAGCAAATTGTGACATTTACTCCAAAACAAATGAATGTACAAGTAAAATTGAATGATTTTATGCAAGTAACAAGGATAAGAACTAAAATGTTGGTCACTTCTGAAGGTACTACAGACCAAATTAGATTTTACTAATTTTTCATGTACTAACTACTTGACATTAATTCCACTGTCACTTTATGTAACATAACTTGATGGCAATTTTTTTTTAGTGCAAACTCACTCCAGTTAATCCGATTCATTCAGAAAACAATCTGCCATATTCACACTGAGTGATTATCAATTACAATACCTGCAAAAGAAACATGGTCGTTGTAACAATTTCTATGTCAAAAACAGGTTGTAATTCAATCAAACTCGCATTTTTCTCCTCTTTGTTGAATGCCACTGGGGCGATTGTGCATTTGTAAGTTCTTTCTCACTCTGTTTGATCTCTACTGGACGATATTTGCGTATGGGGTTGGGTTTATGCACTAGTTGTTTGCGCAGGTTCTTCAAGTAAATCTTTTCTTCCTCCTCGCGTTCTTTCTCTATCTGTTTCCTCAACTTCTCTTCTTCTTGTTCTCTCTCTGCCTTATGCAGCTCATACGCTTCTCTTTCCTTTGCGCGCTTATCTGAATTCATGGAGAATTCTTCAATTTTTGTATTTGGTTTTGCAAAGGACTTGTCAGGTATGAATGGAGCATTGTACAAAACATTGGTGGATCTAGCTTTGAAAACTCTCTTCATTCTTTCCTCTTGAATCTCTTGCTGGAGCTAAAATGGAAAAAGAAAGGATGTCCAGTCAAATGATTAGTTCCTTGTCAGAAAGAGAAAATCTCCCCTCCCCCACCAAAAATAACATTAATAAAAGAAGAAAATCTTCTCTCAACTTTCTGTCTGGTGCAAAAGTCCAAGCCTGAAACCTAAGGTAACCTCAGTGTGACATTCTTTGATATGACCTTAAAATTTCTTAATAAGTTTGCCATGTGCAGTGAACAACTTTTGTCTGTTGTTATATGAAACTGAATTTGCTGTACACATTGGGATGGACACCATTCATCAAAGGGCAGTGATTCAGGTTAAAGTCTTTGTCTCAGTTCTCACATGCTTCTTACCTGTTGTCCCCATTTTTCAGCCTTGACAGCCCCACGGTTTTCAGTTGACAAACCAAAAGGCACAGGTTCTGTAACGAGTTTTGATGCTGAAGGAAGGGGAGGTGGAGTGAAACTCGGCAATGGTTGTGCATGGAAATTCTCTTGTGCCTGCCATCAGGAGAAAATATCTTTAATTAATATATACTAAAACAGTGGATAACTTTGAAGGCGCGCTCTGATTGGCTAGTCAAACTCCGAATATCCTTTGCTATTTACCTCTGAGCAACTCGGGAAAAAATGGCAACCTGGTTTGCATCTGTGACAAGCGAAGAAATCACTCAAATTAATGACGGTGGTGTATATGTTCTCACTGTTTTAGATACTAAAACAACTATTCACCTCGGTGTCGGTGGTTAGCGGTGGATATTTACCTCGCCGCTTTGCAGCTCAGTAAGTATCCACCACTAACCACCTCCACTTCGGTGAGTAGTTGTTAATTAATACACTTTTCATGTTATGGCTGCTCATCAATTCAAAACTTTTAAATGTCCCTCCAGAGGCAAAAATTTTCTTCAAATGCCCCACCCAGTTTTAGTGACCGTGACTTTCTACATTTTGATCAAGCATAAAAACTCACTGTGGATGTTGTAGACCTTTTCTTTTGTGCCATTTGCTTGTGAAAGTGAACTGTTTGCCAGTAGCACCTCCATTTTTAAGTTGGTGTCCAAGGTGTCCCTTGATAGTCAAAGTTCAAATTCCCCACCCCCTGCCCCCAACACAGACAACAGTCAAATGTCCTTGGGTTGCACAGGAGGGGATTTTGAGGCTTACAATTGAACACCATTTTTGACTATTTTTAATAAATTAATAAAATTCTCTCAAGCTAGTCAAGGTAGAAATTTCCTTGAGTCGAATTACCTTCTTTTCTTCCTCTAAGATAGCTGTAATTTTCTCCTCTTTTTTGAGCTTTGTTTCCTTGTCTCGCTGCTCAAATGAAAATGGCTGTATTTGGGTTCCTTTATGTGGCAATTCAGGCTTAAACACATTAGTGAAGTCAGGACAAGGATTTGCCTTTATTTCTCTTGGTTGATCTTCCTACGTATAGATAAAAACGTGCAAATAAATTACTTTGGCAAGATTTTAGGTAATAACTATCCACACAATCATGATGCATTTGAGTGTAGGTATCGAATGACAAAATACATATTCTGAATTGAATTCGGAACTCGGGTTGCATGTTAGGTACCCAAGGGTGTGTTCTAAGAAAAATTGAAGGGAGCCCAGTTCTCTGAAACTGTGAAATCTAGAGTGCCCAACATAATACTTTTTATGAAAAACTAAGATTCCTGCCATGGAGTAAATTTGAGGCACCAGGGGCCCTCGGGTGCTGCTAGACCACTGCCCAGGGTACCTCTTTCAAATTAAACAGATTTTATGGTTGCCAGCTATTCTCTCTAAGTAATACAAACCTCAATGTCAGCCTGCGGTTCTTTTGTTTTGTGCACTTCTGCTCGCTGTTCAGTATTGAAATTAAAAGGTTCGATTGCAGTGAGAGGCTTTTTTGGTTCCATGTACACTCCTAATGTCCCATTGCAGTCAAATATTTTGCGATTCAGCTCAGTTGCTTTGAACTTGTAACTGTGTGAAAAGGTAGAAATATTAGAATGAGTAAGGGAAAAATATTTTTCCAATATGGCTCCTTGAGAACATAAGCAACAAAGTGGTCAAATTGTCCTGAAGAAAATCTGAACCACTTGGAAAGTACAGAACACCACCACTTCATTTTCATACAATAGGTTACATATAAATTTTCAGTCTGTATCCCTGTCCAAAGTTTTCATTAAACATCACATGCAAGGCTTATTCTATTTATTTCATCCTACTTACCTCTTCATCTCTGCTTCCTGGATCTTTTCTTGTTCTTCTTTACTTAAGCAGTCAACAGAAAGTGGCCTTTTCCTATCTCTTGACTTTAAATTTGGGGTCTTTGGGGCTGTTAGCTTCAGGGAAGCCTTCTCTGTATTACTTGGTGGCCCCTGGTTCTGTTCACTGACTGGTTTCACATGGAAACGCTCAGGAGTCTTCTTTTGCCACTGATAAACCCTTTGTGCCATGGATTGGTATTCATCACAGGGAGTTTCACTATCGGGTTCTTTTCTTTTCCTGGACTCAGTCATCTTGAATGGCACTGGAACAGTTGGTTTCCTGTTCTTGAAAGTCTATGCAGTACATAAAAATGGCCACTTTTCAAGGATTTGAGCTATGTTAACACCAGATCATAAAAGACAGTCCTAACTTTTATGTAGAATCAAGCCTCAGACAATCAATTTGGATTGCATTTTCTGTCAATAAAAATTAGCAATCAGTGGTTTCACAAAACCAGATTTTATATATATATATATATATATATAAATATTATGAGAGG